AAAAATCGGGTCACGACCAAATTCGTAGGGGTCAGAACGGATTAACCATATTTACATTGAACCTTATGGGAAAATTTGATTCGGTTCACGACCAATTCAGTTCACGACCAGTCGCGGAACGAATTAAGTTTGTGAACCGAGGTACCACTGTATATTGGGAAGGACTGGGATTTGCAGATCTGCACAGAATGTGCAGGCTAATATTATACTTGACAAACTGAGCATTTGTAAGGAGGGCAGTCATGGGTTTACAATCCAAACTGTCTTCACAACAATACATAATAGTCAAGGTTTTTTTTTAATTATGTGCCATCAAGTTGGTTTTGACTCCTAGCAACCACATAGATTTTCTCCATGACAATCTATCCCTAACCTGCTCTTTCAAGTCTCCCAATGGTGCACCCATCACTGCTGTAATGGAGTTGGTCCACCTTGTTGCTGGTCATCCTCTTCTCTTTCCTTCCATCTTTCCCAGCATTAGAGCCTTCTCCAGAGAACTAGGTCCTCGCATAATGCGTCTGAAGTAGGATAAAGTAGGATAATGGTCAAGAAGGGACTTCTTATTGATTCCGAATGGCATCCAAAGATTGGAGTAATGGCACTGCTTCATTAGCAAAAACCAGTCGAGAATCAATTATCTGTGTTTACAGTTGGCTTGCTTTGAAAGGGCAAATGACATATTTAATCTATTTTGGTATTGCTGGCAAAGTAATTTGGAAGACTTAATTACAATAATTATTTAAAGTGGCAGTTGGCTACCTTTAGGATTAAGGGCCTACAGCTAGGCCTGCATGTACACATATATTCCCCCTCCCCCACACACTTACACCTGCCCTCAGGTGCACAGAGAGACACCTCTCCCCCCAGAATGATAGGTATCCATACCACATAAACATGGATGCCCTCTTCATGTGCAGACCACATCCTTATATTCACTCCCGTGCAGATAGGCACGCGTATCCTCTGTGGGCAGTTAAAGTGAAGTCAGGAGGTTAAAATCACCACAAGCTGTGTAGACAGCTAATGGAAATTGGCTGCAACCGGCTAGTCTCAGATTGCCATACTGGGATTAAGCAGCATATCTTTAAAGCTTTGGGTGCGGTTTTAAATGGTGTTTCCATTGTTGGAGTAGGTGTAGGGTGGAGGTAATTCAGAACAATTGATTAGGCGTATAGGAAACATTATCCTTCCTGTTAAGTGTTGCCTCTGTAGTACCGAAGGGCATCAGAAGGAAATCCCAGCAGGGTTTGGAGGGGCTTTCAGCTGCATAGCCTGTGCTAACCGTGTTTGCCTTTTTGTTTCGCTCAGCTATCCTGCTTGGAGGTGGATGAAGCTTTTTGGGAGCTGATGAGTGTGTTCTTCTGCCCTAGGAACGCTGGAGGGTCACCACCGAACAAGCCAAAGTGGAATCCTTGCAGCACTCACTCGAGGAACAGCGAAGGGTCATGACCCAGCAGCTAACCATGGAGAGGGAAGAGTTAGAGAGGGCAAAGGTTAGAAGTGCTCATGTTGTTGGAGTGATTAACGAGTGTGTTATGAAGTGAGGACTAGACAGCAGGTTTTATGGAGCAGCTGGGTATACGTCATTTACTGAATTTTACTAGAAGGGGGAATCCTGATGTCTTCATCCACTTTTTATTCTCCCATATTTTCCTCACTGCTTTTCTGATTTTGTTGTTTGTTTTCATTGCAGAAAACCCATTAAGAAAGGAAAGACTAATTCCATAGTAACGTTTGCTTTATAATGCTAGAATCTGGTACCATATTGTAAATAAATATACAGTATTCTGTACAGGAACTCAGAAGAGAAATATCTGTGTTTCCCTATCCTTGCATTTATATTTTAGCTATTCCTACTTTTATAGAGACATTTTACAATGGAAGCAGAGAGAGATTTAAAGTAGAATTCATGTTCTGTTTCAAGGAGAAAAAGTATTTTGTTTTCAAAGGCAGTATGAAGAAAAATTCAAGATACATAGTTAAGCCAAGTAAAGTTGCAGCAGCCTTTTTGAAGTGATGATAAAAAGCCATTTTTCGTGCTGTCAAAAACTGCCTGATTTCTCTGTCCTCCTGTTCCTTTCTCCCAGAACTCTTTGCTTGAGGAACAGAAAGCAGTCATGCAGAAATGTGCCGAGGAGCGTCGTAAACTCGCAGCTGAGTGGTCAGAGCTCCACATCCAGCAGAGGCTGAGCAAAGAACGCTCAGAGCGGGAGGTTGACCGGGCTCTGCAAATTGACTCTCAGAGAGAAGGGGTCATCATGAGCCTTGCAAAGGTAAAGGGCTGCAAGTTTAGTTCATTTAGTTCTTGGAACATCTTTTTACTGTGCAATCTGGTGAGAATCCAGAGGAGAATATTTGGACACTGAAGCAGTGGTTAGAATTAACTATTGCAATTATAACGATTTATTATTTCTTTGTTTTTCCATCATGGGGCCAGAATAACTTACAGTATGACAGTAAAAATGGAGTATTGACATGGAAATGGAAACACAGTTGGGTTAAATAAAACTATCTATAAAAGACCTTTTCTCTGTGTGACCTAAGTGGATTAAATTCAGTATAAAACAGAAATATAAAATAACAGATCTCTAAGCCTACTTTTCCCCCTCCTCCTCTTCCTCCCCCTCTTAGGAACAAGCAGACCTGAAGATCAAAGCCAGTGAGTTGAGATCAAAGGAGGAGCAGCTGGTGAGGGATCGAGAGCTTCTAGAGCAAGAGAAGCAAGAGCTGAGACTGGAGAAGGAGAGAGTCAATGCAACAGCTTTGCACATCAAACAGAGGGCAGATGAAATCAATAGCATGAGCAAGGTAGAGAAACTGCCTTTCTACCTCTGCTATTCAGGCTAGGAGAGCTGATATAATATGACTCAATAGTGTCTAGGCTAGAGATTCTGGAAATTGCACATCCTGGCGCTTCTGGAGAGTATCAGGTAAAAAAAGGATGGACTCTGTCATAAGAGCCAAAGGAACTCTTTGGCAGCAAACAGCCTTTAAAAAATCTGTAACGTGCTCCTTTGAAAGCTAGGGAATAAGTTTTTAAATGACTGGTTTCCAAGTCCAGCCACAAAATAGTGTCACTGCCTCATTGGCAGAGTTTATTGGCAGGCAGTTTGGGGGAGGCACCTAATGCTGCCTCGCACTTTTAAATCATCCCTGATTTACTGTTGATTCTTTGGGGGGGGGGTCTTTCATTTAAAAAAAGATATTGAAGTGGAAAAGAGAGGAAAACCTCATAATAACTTTTAAATGTTAATGCTGGAAGCCATTTACTTGAAAATAAAGTAATCGGTCGTGGTTGCTTTTGTAAGAGGACCTTCAGTGCAATCAAGGCCATGTTTTCCCCAGTCAGCATAATTACAGGATATTACAGGAAAAGGAAAAACAATCCAGCCACATCTGCATAAACATTTGAGGGAAAGCCTTAAACTACACTTTCCAGATGTCAGGGAAATTTTCATGTTAATGAACCAGGATATCTGTCAAAGGCAGGCATATAAAGGAAGAAGGCCAGAGAACTGTGGCCATAATGCTAATAGCCCATGGCTCATTAAACAAAAGTTGTGTCATCTAAACCAGAAGCTATAGTGCAAATTAGCAAAAATTTTAAAAAATACTTTCACCATGGAAAGTATACACTGTAAGATGTATAATAAGAAATACATTATACATCACTCACCATTAAAAGAAGAACATTCTGTATGGATGTAAAACCAGTCACTACTTGCTTTACTGCTGGTTTCATGCATTCCAGCCCTATTTTTAACCATAATTTGTAGACTAAGGCATAATTGCCAGGTTCTACTCCGTGTTAAGCAACTCTCTGTGGCTATATACTATACACTAAACCACAAACAATCCATTATTTAGCATGCTGTATGAACCCAACTATTACATCAGGTTAAATTCTAAGGCAGAAACAGGTTCAAGACTGTAGCTCAGATCAAGGCCTGACTCTTCCTTCTTCTGCCACAAAGCTATCCTCCCAGAAGTATGAAGAAGGAGAGAAAGCCCTGTTGGAGGCAAAGAAGGTGGAATCTGAGCACCAAGCCAGACTCCATACTTTACAGCAGCAGATGGAACGGCTCAGACAACAGGAGGAACATCTGCACCAGGTAATCTCTCCCAAGCTAAGAAAATGTCTTGTTCCTATGTACTATCATTATTATTTATTAATGTTTTAATGAAGGTTTCTCTACTTTAAAAATTACTTCTCTTAGATGACAAGACAATTAAAAACAGAATTAAAAATACAATTACCATATAAAACCAATGTTTAAAAATACAGGATATCCAAATATTAATATATATGCCTCAGAATATGGAAATCAGATTATCTAGTTTTATTAAATTGAGCTATTTCATGCTGTTTTTATTTGTGTACATGGCCCTGGGTTGGATGTCAGTTGGGTGGCTATATAAATTGATTTAATAAAGCAATAAAACAAACTCAGCTCACTGTAAAATTGTCCCCTGCATGGGATCAAGATGAGCAACAGCATGCCTAAACATAAGAAGTAGATAGGCACACTGTTTTTTAAAATCCTTTTCTTACTTTATACATTAATTTGTCTCCAGATTTTGCAGTTTGCTGTCATCAGAATCGAGCACCTTCAAATCAATTTCTTGTATGCTTTTTTAATTAAAAAAAATGTGTACATGAACTATTAAGAGTATATCACATAATTTGTTCTGAGGAACTCTGAATGTTTAGGTAAGCAAGCTGAGAGAGATCAGAAGGCTCCCTCTCAAAATTAGAAGCATTGAATAGCAAACAAATGTTGAACCATGTTAGATACAAGTACAGACAGTCTTGCTTAATGACCATTTGTTTAGTGACCGTTCAAAGTTATGACAGCACTGGAAAAAGTGACTTATGACTGGTCCTCACACTTAACGTTGCAGTGCCCCCACAGTCACATCATCGCTATCCAAGTGCTTGGCAACCAGCTTGCACTTACAACAGTTGCAGTGTCCCAGGGTCACAGGATCTCCATTTGCAACCTTCCCAGCCGACTTCCAGCAAGCAAAATCACTGGGGAACTGCGTGATTCACTTAACGACTATGGTGATTCACTTAACAACCACAGCAAAAAAGTCATAAAATCAGCTGTGGTTAGGTGACGACCACACTACTTAATGATGAATTTTCTGGTTCCTATTGACATAGTGACCACACCGCTTAACAATGAATTTTCCAGTCCCTATTGTGGTCATTAAGTGAGGACTACCTGTAGTCAGATCTCAAGTCATGATGGGTTTTAATGGCTGATACCAGCCCTTTGAATTACCTAGAAAGCTAATAGATCATCAGCGCAAGGAGCTGTTGCTCCTAATAACTTCTGGTTCATAGCCTATAACATGAACTCACAAAAGAAGGCTTGAGGTTTCAGAAGCATAGATGCCGCTGGCCATACTGCAGCTTTCTGAAATGGACTGCAGCTGGCACATCAGGAGCATTGAAAAAAGTGTTTTCAAGCAAAAGTGGATTCCAGAGCTCTTCCTAAATTGGGAAATTACAGTCTATCCTGATAATCTAGGAAATTATGGCAAATTTAAAAATGGTCTGCTCAGCATGAGATGGTTGAAGTATGATATACAATATTTTCCTCCCTCCCTCCCTTCACAACGAGTCAGGAACGGCTCAGTTTGTCTCATCAGAGGAGGCAGCTTGAACAGCTACGGATGGAACTTCCAGGCAACCCTCTGGCGTTTCAGAACATGCCCCAGGTGCCGTTATCGGGAGCTCCTGACAAAATAATCTCCAATGTGCGCTGTAAGTACCTGCACAGCCATTTTTGGTGGGCATTCTTGATAAGCAAAATAAAGTAAGAGGGTAAAATTCCATTCCGTGTATTTTCAAGGGCTTTTATATGTAAATGCTTTTAACTCTGAAGAGACAGAGGGGGCTAATTCATGTGTTATTTAATAGTGGGCCTTGGAGCACAGATTTGAGTTTGTTCCATACAAAGTATTCCAGGTACTCTGGCTCTCAAAATACAGAGAAGTGTCTGACAATAAGCTGATAGGGAAAATTTAGTAAATGTTGCTTCATTACATTTAAAAAAAAACAAGTAACCAAAGGGCAAAATTTTAAAAAAAGAAGAAGCAGAGCTCCACAACTTCTTTGTTCCATTGCCCCTTTGATCCATATAATGTCCTTTTATAGAAGAATGTTATCTTGACTCTTATAATATTTGGAGAGAGAAATGGGCTGGCTTTACAGAGCTGATGCTTTGGTATCCTCAATAAGATAATTAAACACACTGTCTTGCGTATCCCAAAAGAATCCTATGTTAAATGTATAGATGACACAGATGACTAGTTACCATATCTAACTTGTTTTTCTTCCCAGATTTGCCTCTTCCAATTACTGTTCCACCTGAAGTTAACCCTGGGAACCCCAGAGCTTCTCAGGGACTTCCAAGAACAGAGCCAGCAGACTTATATGCAAAATTGGTGTTGCACAAAATTACAGCTGAACGAGTAAGATTACATTGTCCAGCTTTCGGTCTACTATGGATTGAGAACATTAACATGTGTACTGAGGTTATAATTTTACAGCTGTTACTGTTCCATTTAGCTTTAATTTCATCTGATTTTATTTAGCTCTGTTTCAAGTAAAATTGTTGCTTACTTATCTGAAAAAGAGCTCAGTTTAATTCAAAGTTTGCATGAAAACACCGAGTTAGGAAAATGGGAAGGACAGTGATGCTCTAACATCCAGTCATGAAGCTTACATGTTTTTTGTTCATTATTGAGTTCTTTCTCCATTTTCATTCCTCTTTTTGTTTTTTCTAACAGGATCATGATTTCTTGGAAGAAGAGCAGTTCTTTTTAGAAACCTTGAAGAGAGCTTCCTATAAGACTTCCTTCCAGTCAGCATGAGAGAGGATCAGTCCTAGAGATAGTTGTGCCAAGATTCACACTTCCTCCAAATAAAGAATGATGTTAGCACTTTGAATGGTTAACATGAAATCAAGCACATAAATAACTGCCAAATTCAACTTTGGTAAAAGTTACATTTTGTAAAATAAATATTTTTAAATGTTTCTTTACACTGTTGCTGTTGCCTGACCAACAGTTTTGTGTTTTGCTGAAACTCTTTTGCCATTAGTTGGCTTTGAAGAACAGTCTTTCAGAGCAGTGTCTGCCTTTGATCTTACTGCATATCTCCAACATATTTCCACATCTCTCTGTCTCTTATAATATTTTATTTTATTTTTTCATTTATTTATTTATTGCATGTATATCCTGCCACAATCTGATGCCTCTTGGCAGCTCACATAAGAGATTGAGAGATTGTTCCAAAGCACTAGCACTACCACTGAGAAGCAGCATCTCCTAGCTTCAGCCCTCACCTCCCAGAAACATGGGACTACAAGGAGTTTCTCCCTAAATGATCTAGCAGGTCAAGCTGATTCAAGTTGGAGTAGGTAGTCAAGCAGTGCAGAGGAGTACAGAGTTAACCTTGAAGAAGGACTGCAGGAATAGTTAGGTAAATATCCATTTAGCCCTGGGAAAGAAGAGAGAATGAGAAAGAAGCTCACGATAACCCTGCCTTGATTCTCTTAACTATAGAGGGAAACTCAAGCTTTCAACATTATGTTATACCCTGCAACGATATAGTTATAGTAGTCCTTGTGATGTCTGTTTCCTGACCTGTCCTATCTTGAAGGGCTGACATCAGTCTTCAAAGCCTGCCTTCTCCCTGTTCAGAGAAACATCAAAACTTGCCTTTGATTGTGGAGGTGGCATTCTCAGGGCACCCCACTGTCTGCAGAACAACTTGCTGATGCACTGTTATATTAACAGCAAGTGGATATACAAATAACAACTCCGGACAATGCCATGGTACAACTAACATGGTATTTGTGACAAGGCTTACTTAGTCAGGAGCAGTTCAGCCCAACCAATATTTCTTTGCTCTCATGGGAGTTTGGTGAAGTATGGAAGCCTGGAGTGAATTGTTTATGGCAGGTCAACCAGCAGAATTTCCTACAGATCACTCCAGGGTGACTTTTGTTCTGAGTCTCCTGAAAGAAGGAGCTGTGTCCCTCACTGAGGGCAGTGGTACATTGCTGGATAATTATCAGAACTTCATGCAAAGATTTACAGCTGCATCTCACAATCTGATTAGGAAAGCAACAGCAAATGAAGAGAAGTGCAAGCTGAAGCAGGGCAACTGCAGAGTTCATGAATCCACATCAGATTTTCAATCCTATGCCAGAGACATGGGGTGGAATTATCTTGCTCTGACTGACCAGTTTCAAGAAGGATTTGCTGATGAACTGAGTGATGTATTATTGAGACAAGTCACACCAGAGAATTTGGAAGAAATGTTCCAGTGTTGTGTGTTAGTTGATGGGTGATTGCAGTAGTTGAGACATGGAAGAAATAATAAGGGGAGGGATTTTTTTCCACCTCTCTTCACCCCTACTCCACCTCTCTACGGCCTTGGACACCAACACTGGAGAACCATGCAAATAGGAATGGTAAAGAGATCAAAGAAACAGGAGACCTAGGTTTGTGTTTCTGCTGTGGAGCCCCAGGACACCTAGCTAATTTGCACTGCTAAAGTACAGATCTTTGAATCAGGTGCTAAGTGGTGCACCTGGAACTGCAGGTCATATAGCAAGCAAGTGCCCAAATAGCTCCAGAGCACCATCTTCAGGAAACTGCAGGTTTCCCCTCCCAAAAATTTGGCAGGGGGTCCTTAGGCAATTAAGAAGAGCTCAGGCAGCCAGCAACAGGCAGGTGCATTTTATTATCACACTGTCAGGCATAGAAATACAACTTTCTCGCTTTTCAACAAGATGAGTGGTGACAAATCTGATGTATAAATAAATATAAAAATAAACTTTCTGCTCTGAGATTTGGATGCAACAGTTTAAATAGCCTAGACAGTTAATAGAGAAACTATTCTTGTGGAAATAGGCAAGCGCTTTGATCTAGTTTTATTGTAAAACACACAATCCCTCTGATGGAGTGGTGATTTTAGCGTTAATTTGAAGACAGCAGAACACCTCTGCAAATGATGATAAATAATCAGAATTATTGGTACTTAATGATGTCACAGCTTCCTTTCATATCCCCATTGTGGTGGGTATTAATTGGCTGCAAACTCTCAATCCAAATGTCTACTGGAGCAAGAGGCAATTTTGGTACCTTCTCAAAGGTGTCAACAGCACTGTTTGCAAGCCTCCCACTCTTACCTGTCTCCCTCTCTACTTCAACACTTTGAATATCCTACCTTGCAAGAAAAACACAGAGTGTGCTGATGCTTTTGCAGAGGAGGAAGCAGCTATATTGCCTCTATTGCACTACAATCTAAAGAATTCCCCCTTCATCCTCACCTGCATCTGCATTTTTTTTTAATTACAAAAGAAAGATGATGATTCTTTGAGACCTGCTCCTGATTATAGACTGACTGACTTTATTTATCAAATTTGTCACCACCGATCTCGTTGAAAAGTGACTCTGGACGTTTACTTCTTAATTCTCTGACCATTAAGGATCACTATCCAGTTCCTCTTACTTCAGATCTGCTGGATTACCTTCAGAAGGCAGGTATCTTCAAAAAATTGGACTTGAGCCTACAGTGTAATCAGAATGAAAGAAGGCCGTGAATATTGAACTGTCTTGTTGAGTAGCACCACCAGCATCAGCTTGTCCTGTTCATTAGATTACAATTGTAAAATTTATAGTGTAGAGGATCCTCACCTCTCCAACAAAGTAATAAAATTGTCATATGAAAGTTCTAAAAAAACTAATTTGCAGAAATAATGAGGTATAGAATTTTTTGTGCATTTGTTTATATATTTGTTCATTTTGCTCTTGACTGACAATCCTCATTTTAATTAAGTTGCCATGTACTGGAGCCTCAGTGGAATCCTCCTGAATAGATCCGCGCAAGATTGCATGGGATAAATTATGGAAATAGACAATATAGCCAGCAAACTGTTGGTATATGTGCTTTTCTTAAATGAATAATCAGTATGGAAACCTAACATTTTTGAGAAAAGTGTAGGATTTATATAGGTGAAAATCTTGCAGCAGAGATCCATTCCACCAGTTTTCCTCAATCTGGCACCTATCTTTGGACTGAAACTCAACACATCTGGAAGGCACCAGGCCAGAGAAGGTTGCATTTTGCTTATGGGAAAAAAAGGAGTGTTTGCTATTCCTATCTTATTTAAAATCTCTTTAATTTTGAAAATCTCACTTCTCAGAGCTTTCTTCCAGGAAAATAACATAAATAAGCATTTTCAACTGGGCGTGGACTTTTTTTCTTTTCAATTTCTCTATGACGGAAATGAAAACATTCAAGAGTACAGTAGTCATAGGAGAGCAGAGGACAGATCGTCATAGAGAAAATATGTCTCTCGTCGCTAAGATTCGAAATCCACTTGATGGCACGTAATAAATCATAGCAGTGCAAGCAAAAGTAGCTAAGTAATTTTAAAGAGACTAAACACCTTGCTTGTTGTGGCGTACGATTTTATGAATCGACTGATGAAGTGGACGCTTAGAAGAATTATTAAAAGAGTTAATAAAATGCTTTTTAAAAGCCTTTGCAGGCGCTCGGAGGACAGCCTTTTTGTGTGACGTCATCCACGTGCGCCTATCGTGCTCTGAGGGGCCTTTTCCAGGAGAGGGAACGTAAGAACCTGCGAAATGGCGGCGCCCGTTCTAAACGCTGTCCTGCGCGGAGTCCGGAGGAGTAGAGGGTTTAGTACAACTGGTGGGTGACGCTGGAAGGGGAGAGAAGATTGGGGTGTTATTTTTCCGGTGATCTTGCTGCGCTTCGTGGAACTGGCTTGCCCGAGTTCATTTGGCACTTTAGGAGTCCACGTCTGACCATCCCTCTTTTTACTCGGGTTTCCTTTTTGTTCCATTATATCCTTATGTCTGGAATGTTGGTATCACCTTTATGGGCTTTGTTGAAATGCCCCAGGAATGGCGGTCTCTTCATTTAGAGTTACTAAGGAGTGGATTTAGTTGTTGTTGTTTTTATGCAAGCAAAGCATGTTATGCATGTTAACTTGTCTCGGCTGCAGATACCCGGACAACCATTCAGTAGACTACACGGACCGAAAATGGTTTGGAAGATGTGGTTTGGACCTTGCACCAGCGGTGCACATCTCTGCTGTTCATTTGTTGACCTTTTTTTAATGCTTCTGTGCAAGAACAGCTTTTCCTTTGAAGGGTGGATCCTTAAAGCTGTAGCATTTTTTTTTTTATGCAGTCACTTAATTTAATAAATGCTAGAGAGGTGCTGGATGCATGAGGTCTAAAACATTTCTTTGAAATCATTTTTGAAACGTGGACATTCCTGTCATCTTCTATGAAGAGATTAGTTGTGGATACATCACCATTTCATTCTGTAAATTTCTTACCAGCAATGCCCGTGAAGGCCTGATTCCAGTTTGAAGGGAACAAAAGTTATTTATGTTCATTTGTGCCATTAATAACTCTATTTGTTTTGCATTCAGGATTTAGAAACGAACACAAAACAAAACATTAGTAATGGCTATTAGTAATGTTACTTTTTTTTCTATGTATAGGTGTTGTCTTGAGTTTGGTTGCAACTAAAATATTTTGTTTTGAATGGTTAAAATTAGGAATTCTGTGATCACTCATTGTGTATCTAAATTTCCAATCAACTAAATGTAGATACATTGTGGTTATCTAACCTTATTTTTAGAGGAAGGAGTACAGTGGCTGGGTATCTAACCTTATTTTTAGAGGAAGGAGTACAGTGGCTGTTTTTAAAAATCCTCTTGGAAATAGCTTTTGTACTTTTGCAAATGGAGAGACACAGAAAAACTGATGGTATGTTTTAGTGCTATCTTACCCTTTTTATTTTATATAATTCACAGATGAATGTAGAAATGAGTTTCATGACGCAGAATCTCATTCTTTCACCTTTTTTCCATACTGTGTTTAGACCTATCAATTTAAACATGTAAATCAAATGTAAACTTTAATATCATCATCTGCTTTTGCAGGTAGTATTTCCAAGTGGATCTTTTCTCTTCCTTTTGCTTCTGTTTCAAGTGTGGGATGGTTTCATTTGAACAGGAGAAGCCCAAATGAACAGCTAGCCTACTGTGTTTTTGATCCCACAGGATAATTAGCTAAACATACAAATTATTTTGTTTTGTGTTATTGTTTTAGCTGTTCTCTGCAAACTGGGTGTACCTCTGGGACCAATGCCTAATGAAGATATCGATGTTAGTGATTTGGAGGCACTGGAAAAGTATCGTGTTTTCACTCGCTATTTCAAGGTAGCAGAAAAAGAGAGTAAAAAAACTCCTTGGTGGCGAACATATAAGAAATGCATCACTCCAGAGGAAGGTATTGACCCCGGAGGAGCACAAAAGCCCAGCCCAGTTTTTTTCCCCCCAGTTGCTTTGATCAAATAGTTTAACATTTTTTCCCATGGGGCAAATGCATTTTATATATACTTATAAATTTTATTGAATATGATAGAACTTATTTTTAATAAGCATGGCATGGATTGAATTGTAATGTTCAGTTCTTATATTCTGTTGAGAAAGCGAACAGGAAAGTGTAAACAAACAAACTAAAAAGGAAATGTAATGATTTGGCTTTTGCAATTATATTTTGAAAGTGAAACAGAACAACTGTTTCTATTCAAAAAGCAAAGCATCGTTATTGAAAAAGTGCACTGATTTGTTCCCCTTTTAATTTGAATGAATTCTGCTAGCATAAGAGTTCTGTAAATCAGAGGTTCTGGGTGACTTCCAAATCTACAACAGGAACTTTCTACATGCCCTAAGATAGAAAACAAGTGGTTATTTTCACTTTAAACCATACTATTAAAGCAAGACATTGGCCCTGCCAAATTTTTCAAGTGTTTATGGGTTGCCCATCAGTACAATTGTATAGAAAGCCATGAGATTTATTTTGCATAATCTCTTTTCTTTTAAATCTTAGATAAAGAGGCAAAGATCGACATTGGTCTGCCCAGTCTTCCAGTGTCACATAAAAAGATACAGAAAGAGAGAATGGCTATCAGGAAACAAAATTTAAGCAATGCGGAACTGGAAAAAGCATCCTGGCTCAAAACATGTATGTTAGTAACAATTCTCTCAACATTTATTTCTTTTGCACTTACAAGAGTTTACCCACTTCGTTTTCTTAAGTATTTTGTTTCTGCTTGCAGTGCAGATTCCTCTAGATGATGTCAAAGCTGAATGGGAAAGAACCAGTGGCCCATATCACAAACAGCAATTAGCAGAACACTATGGACTGTATCGGGACTTGTTTGATAATGCCATGTTTGTTCCCAGAGTGCTTCTAAAAGTGGAATATAACCAGGATGAAGAATATGCTATGCCAATTTATTATGGAAATGTGGTTACTCCCACAGAGGTATTATACCAAGAATAGGAGCCTTGAGAGAAAGTATATCCTTTCTCTGTTTTGGTTAGGCTGTTGCTCATGTATTAGGTATAGATACTAAAGTAAATTTCCTGGAACATTTCACAAAATTGTGTCTAATGAATACATCATTACTCTAAATATGCTAATAATGATATGCTCTCTATGTACTAATACAGTGTTCTGCCAGCAGAATCCCCACATTGCAGGGCAGCAGCTGTTAGGGTTAGGCTACATGAAATCAGATTCACTGTAAGTTAACTCTATAATATAATACCTAGTAAATAGGAATAGTTAGAACCAAAGTTACCTGTAGTGCTCTCTTTGTCAGATTAACTACAGGTAGTCCTCATTTACCAACCACTCATTCAGTGACCATTCAAAGTTACGATGGTACTGAAAAAGGAGATGACTAGTCCTTGAAGTTGGAGCTGTTGCAGCATCCCTGCAGTCACATGATCGCAATTCGGGGGCTTGGCAACCAGTGCGCATTTATGATGGTCACAGCATTCTGTAGTCACGTGATCCCCGTTTGCAATATTCCCTGCCAGCTTCCGGCCAGAAAAGTCAGTGGTGAAGCTGGTAATAAGTCACAAGTCGTGATCACATGATGTCGTGCTTAACAATCTGCAGTGATTCGCTTAATAACCACAGCCAGAACTGACGTAAGTTAGTGCCATCACATGACATTTCACTTTATGACCACATCACTTAGCAATGGAGTGCCAGTCCCAATTTCAGTTGGTAAGTGAGAACTACCTATAAAGTGAATGTGACTTTAACTTCCATTTATTAAATGTTTGCAAACCATTTTTTGATTATAATAACTGGAGCAGTTTTCAGCTAAGTGCAGACAAATGCTAGAAATCAGCAGCAACTAATCATTTTGTGAAAAAAAACGGTATCAGTACAATTCTGTAGAAAACAAGATTACATTGGAAGCAAGTACTGTTGATTCAAAAGGCTTATCCACAATTAAGCATGAGTGGGATTATAGGCTAAAGCGGAAATCACCATCATCCATTAAATGTCTGGGACAATAGCAAGCTCTTAACTTATTGCATAAATGACCATTCATGGCAAAAGATGCTTCAGCCCCTGACCCTCATCCTTGCCTGTAAATTTTGCATGAGCGGGAATAATCTTACAGAACTAGATACAGTTTTCAGTACTATAGGTGTTTAGGTGCCTCTATTATCAATAACAGCAGTATTATTGATAATTATTATCATCAATAACAGCAGTGTGCCTTTGTTTTATTGCCCCAAAGCCTCCCAAATTCATGCAATGGAGACATTCATCATCAGAGCAGTTATTTTCTCCCATTTGTAACCTAAAATGGAAGAAAAGGGGTATGTGAGCCATCAGGATTGTTACTGTACACATACTGGTTGAAAATAATCTCTTAAAAGTTCCCCAAACACCTTGAAATATATTTTCTACCCACTCGCGTGATATAATGATGTCACTACTTTTCCTTTTGCAATCCATGGCTTCCCAAAATTTGCTCCCACCCCCTACCTTTGTCCCTCTAAAATCTTGCCTTCTAACCAAAAGTCCCTTGAGAATGCTAGTTTTGATTATCTGTGCTGCAGTGAAGAATTGACATAAATTGTCTCTTCATTGATGTGAAATTTGTGAATAGCCAGGAGACCAGGTATAGTTTGAAACACCATTATTATTGTTATTTCAATTTAGAGGCTACCTGACTGTTCAGTGACTCTGGATGGCTTACAATTAAAATTATAATTCTTTATGAGGACCG